TTTTTTGGGTGTACATATAAGGTTATCAATTCGATGTAAGATGTTTCACTCTAAAATAACTTAGCCTTTCCCTCAAAAGTCACATGAATGTGCCCTTAAGACGTTAAATGATATGTGGATTAAAAGTTTATTGTTTGATTTAAATTATAAATTTATTAAAATTGGAGCTTCGCTTTTAGCCCTGGCTAAATCTATATATTAAGGAAAACAACTACATGAAATTCTAAAATGAAAGACCATGCTCTTTTTTCTACAAATAAAGTAATGATGATGTATATATTTGATTGCATTTAAAGTCAACGGCTAAACCCTGCACATATTCCTAAGTCTCAGACACTGGTTTTTTGATATTTCATCATTCTTTTCTAAGTTTAGCTCGACAGTAATAAATCAAAGTTGATGGTTGCAAATAGATTCACATTACCTTCTGGCCACGGGCAGCCGTATAACTCCACCCTCATCGATATGCGGTTACGCCATGCGAGTGGTCGAAAACGGATGAAACGTGTCATGATCGATGGGTTCAAGTTGTGAGAAACCACGGTGTTTGAGTCTGTATTTCCGGTGAAAACCTGATTCCTCAAGAAAAACCAAAAAAAGTTTGGACAGTAGAGCATTGTTGAGTCCCGAGCTCAACCACTCAGAATTCATTAGAATATATCTTCTGCCACACAACTACCCCCCGCTACTTTTTTGTTGGGGTGTGGGGGGGTGGGGGGGGAGGGGGCTGTAAGAGAGGCTTATTCTCGGAATTATATGGTTACCTTGTTTGTGGTTTGGTCTTGTTCCTTATAGTACTGAAAGTTTTCCCCATCGTTACTAACTTGCAGATTGTACTTGGTCACCCACTGAGGGTAATTATATCTTCCTTGGGTTGCTATTCGTGTTATTCTTGTCCTTTGCCGACCAACATCAGCCTGTATCCACTGACTCAAATCACTTATCCTAACCACCCAAGCTCCAGAGCCTGTTTTGTTATAAAGCCTCCCAAAAGAGACGGAATGTGAAACCGGATTCCATTCTGAAGATGCGGTAATTTGAGCATCTGTAATCACTCCATCTGACATGCCGAGAGGGTCTTGGCAACGTCCTAAATTGTAAATAAAATGTTGTGCAGCAAATCCAGCGTTATTGGTTACATTAATTATTGAATGCAATAACTTTTACAAGTGCATACTTAGACGTCAGAAACTATTGCTTTTGAGCTCTAAACAATAACTTACTATACTCAGTGTACTTCATTCACTCACTCATTGATTCATTCGTTTGTTCATTGATTCATTCAGTCATTCATTCATCCATTCATTTATTTTTTGCCAATTCAAGGTTATGTCGTAGCAATTAAACTGATGAAAACCCCCACCTATCCCCGCTTCTCACTAGAAGCGTGTATGAGAGCATTCGAAGTATAATTGAATGAAAATATTCGAACTCGGAAATTTAACTGTAGGAACATTTCATCAATTTTTTTCTACTGAAAAAAAGCACTTTATTTGTTTATCAAAGTATTTAGCACGAAAGTACTAATTAGGGACAAAATTAGCTGAAATTTTTATGTCTCCAACTGCTGGAGATTAGACCCTCATTTTACGCGGTCATCCGATGATCCGAGCCATGCGAAGGTCTTTCCGCTTGCAGTGCAAAGGGAGTACCTTCATTTCTCAGTTATTCAGCAAGACCATGAGTATTGTAAGACCCTGTCCCGGGAATCGAACCCGCGACCTCCAGCTCTGCGGTCAAGCGCTCTATCCACTGAGCTAACGGTGGCTTTCTCAGACGTCTTCTCAATCATTCTCAGAAGTAAGCTTTTAAAAGAGAAAGATGTACCCACCTAAATAGCCGCTGAAAGACATTCCACCGATTTGAAAAGCCGAAAAACACAAATTAAGAGGCCCGAACGAGCTAATGTGACTTACGTAATGCAACACGAAACGTTTTGAATTGAGTTTGTACTAAAAGGTGGAGCTGTTCGAAAAAGCTCTGCAATTCATTCGAAGAGTAATATCTGTTTTGACTCATTATCGGGATATTAAGAGGCAAAAGGATTGCATGTTAATTTAGTATTCCATATTGCCATGCATGTTAACTATTTCGATTATTCCATCTCGAAAGTTTTATTTATTCTATTATTCCGGCACCCAATAAAAGATTTCTCGAAAATTGTTGTTATTCTTTTCCATTATTCCTCTTCATCTCCCGTCGCTCTCAAAACACCTTGTAATATTAAGATTATATTCAATATATATATTCTGCTTTTTACGAACGCGTGTATTGAATATCGCACTGCGTTAGGGACATATATTTTGAAAAGAAAATATTCTAATAAGAGAAAAAGTATTAATGAACCGTTCATGGCAGCATAGAGGTTCTTAATGATGTAGTTAAAATTATATTTTTTGTGGAAAAATTAAATGCAGAATTACGAGCAGTGAATATAGTCGAATATCTGATCAGACGAGTATGTCTGTGTGTTTAGTTTTTCAGTTTACTAAGGAAACACTGAAATGATGTATACAATGGCATCAAACAACTTTCTCATGTTTCTTTTAATGTAAGGCTTACTGTATTCTCTTGTTTGCCCTTCTTTCCTAGCAATCTGTGAAATAAAGAGATTAAGATGATTCAAGTAAAGCAGAAATTCAGTGCTTGGAAATTTCATTGCACTTTGCTAATTTTTTGTTCTTCAGTCAAAAATGGGCACAGTGTATCGCCCAAGGAAGACCGTTTAATCATATAAACCTAAACTAATGATAACTAACATCGGTTACATGGCTACTAAAATAACTTTTTGCCGGGTCGGACTATGGAAGCAACTGAAGCAGGGGACTAGAGGAACTGCAAACAGTTTTACTCATCTCATCCATCCGTAGAGAAAGTCTATTGTTTCTTATCAATCTAAGTAACGACGATTTTCTTACCAGAAGCACCAGAAAGAACAACGTGAACTTCACATGCATCACGAACTTGGCTGAAGCACAATTCAGTAAATATCCTTTTTTTGTTTTGTTTGTTTGTTTTCTCAGTGTTCCTCGCGGGAAAGGCGCTTAGCAAAGACTGAGCTGGAAACGCATCTTTACCGCCTTGTAACTCAGTGGACTATTTTGACGAAAAACAAAAAAAACACTAATTAAACACTTATATTGAATACAGTATTTTTTTGCTGCGATCAGAATGTATTACAAAAGAGTAAAATAAGCCTAAGAAGGCCTTCTTTAAGAGTCAGGTATAAATTATTGATTTTGTATTAAATTTTGATGAAAATTTTGGCGGCCCGAGCTCATCTCGACAGCGGTTTTCCACTTATCTAGTACCATTCCCCACTCGACAGAGTACTTAAAATGGCGGATGGTGCTTCTCTAAGTGAAACCGGTGGGATTGCAGTCTTATAACAGCCTTAAACGTAGTGAAAGGAACCGCGGAATTGAAAAATTGAATTCTTCAAGGATTTATATTGCAAGCCTCAACCGATTTTTGCGATCTGTAGGTACTTTGTACGGGAAACCTTAGCAGTAAGCTTACACTGCTTACACATGTTTTTTAAATTCTTGTGTTACTGTAAGATGGTACAAAAGGATCAATCATCTATTCTAATATTATACAATTTGTTCAGATTGATTGTTTCTCTATTTTCTGAAGGCCCCACCCACTTTCCATCGGATAGATCACTATCCATTGGACAAGGGAACAAATTGCGCTATCCAATCGATAGCTGGAGAATTATCCAGATTATCCAGTGAATAGCATCCACCTTTTGACAAAAGAGGCCTGAACTTTGTTTATTGCAGGAATTTTTCTGTTACACATGAGCAGAAGCTAGAGTATCAGACATGTCTCTGACGTATCAGGGGAAGAGAATTTTAGCCCCCATGGTCCGAGTGGGGACCCTGCCCATGAGACTACTTGCTCTTAAGTATGGAGCTGATATTGTGTATTCTGAGGTGAGACAGTGATTTAAAAATTACACAAATTGTATAGTTGTACCTTAAAGAGGTCTTATTTGAAGGTTCATCCTTTAACCCACTGACGGCCGTGCCAGCCAAAACTGGCTGTAAAAGACTCCATTGCTTTAAAGCATTGCAACTTCCTCAATCACGCGAACATTGCCGTAACTGTGAGTTTTGAGCATTGAGTACAAAGTCCTTCAGATTGGGATATCCAATAAAGGCAAAAAGTTCATCCATTTTTGCAAAATATCACCTTTTAAATTTAGATAAGAACAAAAATGACCGTTTTTAACGTCATAGAAAAATGACAAAAATAACATTTTCTGCCTTCAGGTTTTTTACAGAAATCATCAATGAAAAACCAAAAGATCAATGTTCACAGTAAAATTTATTCCTTGTTCTGGCTTAGAAGTGACTTTTGTTGTTCTTATTCGTTTCCCGGGCCAAGCTACAGCCGTTTTTTCTAGTGCATCCTGGCCTTGCCTCCATTTCAACATCACAACTGCATCGTATGCCAGAATTTTTGACAGTGTTCTTTCCTTCCTCCACTTTTTTTCGTATTTGTACTAAGTCCACAGCCACTCTGACATGCCACGGAAATTTCACGCTTGTTGTTATTTTCAGTGGATGCAATTCCAAATTATGCCACGGTAGGGCAAGAAATTCATCAGTAGTCGAGTCCCAAAGTTACTTTGTTTTGGATCGCGTGGCCTTTTTTCCAATTCCACGAGCAACTAGCCAAATTCGCCAACAAGGTACATCACCTTACTCGCTTCGTTGAGAAAATAGACTCTTAGCTATTGTCGTGCCTAATGATGCTCATCAGGCAGCCACCAAAGATGAAAAATGGCTGCTAAGTTACCAAAAATCGCATACAAACCAAACCCCAGCCGTTATTAATAGCTCAACAAAGCAAAGTGACTATGTCAGAATGACACTTCCAGAAAACTTGAGCCTCCAGTGTTTCAGAACAGCAGCACTTTCCATGGTAAAGCCAGATACGGAGTTACAAAATCCTATGGACTGTTTAATTTGTATGTAGAAAATCACTCGAAAATGTGAAAGTCGCGGGTAATCTAATCTCACAACTGAAACACTTGTAGCTAGTTGTAGCTTTTGACGCACATTCATGGTAAAGTCAGGTCAAAATACCACAAAAGTCTAGCCTCTTCCCCTCCATTACACCCTGCCTCTTCCCTGGGTCATTTGTTATTCCCAGGTGATATAGCTGCAATTGAATAAAATAAATGTGGATTGATCAGCATAAATGTACAATGAGTGTATCAAAAGAAAATTTTTTTGGCAGGACAGAGTAATGACAGATTTATTTTTGTTTTTTTAGGAGATAATAGACTTTAAAATCCTCAAGACAACACGGTTTGACAATAGTAAGTGATTGTTGGTGCATTTAAAATAATCTCCACCAATGTTCTTGTATTTGCTCGTTGGCCTCTTTGAATATCATTTACTCAAACTGTCATTGGCATTTATTTCTAGAAATTCTTGGCACAGTTGATTTTGTTCTACCTGATGGAACAGTTGTATTCAGGACATGTGAAACAGAGAAGCAGAAAGTTGTGTTTCAGATGGTGAGAACACTGTACAAGATCATGAACCAACAAATAGAGTGCTATACTTTTACAGTACTGCTGATTAAAAAGCAAGCAGGAGTGTATTATCAGGTTTTAAAACTCAAGGCGAAGCTGAGAGTTTTTACACTTGATAATACTGACTCCTGCTCTTCTTTTTAACAGCTTCAAAATCTCTGATATAGATCAACTCATACTTGCATGAGGTTATTTTGGTCTAAAAAATTGGATGTAAAAGTTTATCCATGTCTTTATCAGACATAAAGACCACTCATTCAAAATTTATTTCTTTTGTTTTTTCTTTATGAATTATTAATGATTTTTTTAAAGTATTTCTCTATATGCACAGTAGTGCGCATTTCATAATCTACGTTTTGCTGTAATGCAAACATTTAATGAAACTGTGTCAGTTTGTGAAAAAATTATGTTACTGTGTCGATGGGGGAGTGAAACTTAAATTACCATTACAAAAAGAAGAAAAAATGATGAGGAGAAGAAGAAGAAGCTGAAGTGTTTAGAACAGCTGTCCATTAT